TCCAGGCAGCTCCCTCCACCCAAGCGGCCCGGAAGCTCGCCGGCGCCAAGCCAGGCTGACGAGGAGACGCCATGCCACCGACTAGAGAGAAGGGTTATGGATTCAGCTATGGATGGCTTGTGCCAGAGCTGATACGGATGTCTTCGTCGGGGTCGTCGTCTTCGTCGTCGCCGCCGAGCCCGCCGCCGAGTCCTCTCTCCTCCTCCCTTCCCTTTCTCCTCCCTCCTCTCCTCCTCCTCCCTCCTCCTCTCTTCCCTTGCTCTTCCCTCCTCCTGCCTCGCTCCCTCTCCCTTCCCTTCCTCCTCTCCTCCCTTTCTTTCCTCCCTCTTTCCTTTTCTTTTTCATTTTTTCCATCTTAAGAGGATGGACGACCCCCCACTCGACAACGAATCTTTTCAGATTCGTTGTCGAGCACCCTCATGTTTTTTTCACAAAAATTGCACAAATTTCCCGCCCGGGCTCTCTTGCTGAAATCATAGGAAAACCATAGGAATCTTAAGAATTCTGTCAAATCCAGTGATTTCACGTCATCGCGCGGTGCACTCGCGATGCTCTGTCATGCACCCAGGCCGCGAATCCTGTGCAAAAAATACCACAAAGAGCACACTCGCGCGTTCATGTCAGAATCCTACCGAACACCGTGTGTTTGCAAGCATTTCAACATAAAAACATCAAAAACCCAATGCTTTTTCACAAAAATGCTTTGGGGTGTCCTGTCAGACCGTCGGGCTTCCTCCGGCCACCTCTGGCTTCCTGCGGTGTACCGGGCCATTCTCGACTCGTCTGGCAATGCGTGCGCGGCATTCAACACGCGCTCGCCAGTTCCCGTCGGCAACCGCCATCGCGGCCGCATCAGCTGTACCAAACCGGCTGGCCGGTGTGACTTCGGCCCCCAGTTGTGCCAGCTTTGCTTCTTATGTTGTGGGAGGGCGGGTGGGACTGGGCATGCCATGCTTGACTCGCTCGAGCTGGCTAGCTTGACTCCTATCCTACTCCTGCTCCTACTCCCATTCCTTATTCCTTATTAGAATATACTCCTACTCCCCCCTCAGGCCGGCAGATAGGGGCCACATCCGGGTGGTCCCATCCTAACCTGTAAAAAACAATACAAAATCAACATTTTTCTTATTTTTTCCTCTCGACATGGACGTCCTGTCGTCCACGGCGATAATCCATTGCAAAAAACACCACAAAGAGCACACGCGCGCGTTCATGTCATAATCCTACCGAACACCGTGTGTTTGCAAGCATTTCAACATAAAAACATCAAAAACCCAATGTTTTTTTTTTTTTTTTTTTTTTTTTTTTTTTTTTTTTTTTTTTTTTTTTTTTTTTTGTTTTTTTTTTTTTTCCACAAAAATTCTACAAATTTCCTGCCCGGGCTCTCTTGCTGAACTCATAGGAAACCATAGGAATCTGAAGAATTCTGTCAAATCCAGCGATTTCACGTCACCGCGCGGTGCACTCGCGATGCTCTGTCATGCACCCAGGCCGCGAATCTTGTGCAACAAATACCACGCGGGCGACATGCGCGCGCGTCGCCGCGAGCGCATGCTCAAATCCTTCTAGAGTCGTCGCCGTCATTGGCACCGTCGCATGGACGTCCTGTCGTCCACGTCGCAAAATGCATGGCAGGAATGGGACGCGGCGCACACCCCGCGCCCGCCCATCCAATCCGTCCCATTCCAATTTGCAAAAGACAATACACAGTTTTTGTTTTTCTTGTCAACATGGTCGTGCTGTCGTCACGTCTCAAAATGCGTGGCAGGAGTGGGACGCGGCGCACACCCCGCGCGAAGGGGTGACATGTCGCTCTCGCCTCGGCGCCGCGCCAACGTTTTTCCTCTCAGCATGGACGTCCTGTCGTCCACGTCGCAAAATGCTTGGCAGGAATGGGATGCGGCGCGCACCCCGCGCCCGCCCATCCAAACCCCCCCGTTATAAAAAAAACAATACAAGTTGGGGCCTTCTGGACGCCTCCTAATGCAATCCCATGAATCGTATGGGCGCATGGGGTCCCTTGGGGCCTCCTGGGGCCTTCTCGTGACGCCTCTCTGTGTTTGCAAGCATTTCGACATAAAAACATCAAAACCATACGCTTTTTGCACACAAATTCTACAAATTTCCTGCCCGGGCTGTCTTGTTGAAATCATAGGATAACCATAGGAATCTTAAGAATTCTGTCAAATCCAACGATTTCACGTCACCGCGCGGTGCACTCGCGATGCTCTGTCATGCACCCAGGCCGCGAATCCTGTGCAAAAAACACCACGCGGGCGACATGCGCGCGCGTCGCCGCGAGCGCATGCTCAAATCCTTCTAGAGTCGTCGCCATCATTGGCACCGTCGCATGGACGTCCTGTCGTCCACGTCGCAAAATGCGTGGCAGGAGTGGGACGCGGCGCACATCCCGCGCCAAAGGGTGACATGTCGCTCTCGCCTCGGCGCCGCGCGCCTTTTTCCAGGGGGGTCCCTTGGGGTGTCCTGTCAGACCGTCGGGCTTCCTCCGGCCACCTCTGGCTTCCTGCGGTGTACCGGGCCATTCTCGACTCGTCTGGCAATGCGTGCGCGGCATTCAACACGCGCTCGCTAGTTCCCGTCGGCAACCGCCATCGCGGCCGCATCAGCTGTACCAAACCGGCTGGCCGGTGTGACTTCGGCCCCCAATGGTGCCAGCTTTGCTTCTTATGTTGTGGGAGGGCGGGTGGGACTGGGCATGCCATGCTTGATTCGCTCGAGCTGGCTAGCTTGACTCCTACTCCTACTCCTACTCCTACTCCTACTCCTACTCCTACTCTACTATAGGCTCCTCTACTCTACTCTCTACTCTCTACTCTCTACTCTCTACTCTCTACTCTCTACTCTCTACTCTCTACTCTATACTCTATACTCTCTACTCTCTACTCTCTACTCTCTACTCTCTGCTCTCTACTATACTCTTCTCTACTGTACTCTATATACTCCTTCTCCTCCTCTCCTCCTCCTCCTCCTACAGTGAAGGCCTCCCCGACGTCTGAAATCGTGACCTTCTCATTGCGTGGCTTCTGGGGCCTCGCGTGATGGGGGGGGGGGCGACCAGCAACGGGTGCAGATCAAAGGGGCTCTGTGGGGCCCGACACGTGCATCTTCCGCCCCCCCCCCACCGACTTATCCCCCCCCATCCAGCGACCCCCAATCTTCTCACAGCGTGGCTTCCCAGACCCTGAATTCCTCTCGTCGTGAAGCACTCACGCGCGATCTGTTTTTTGCCCTTGTCTGCCTCTTGGGGCCCCGGCCCGCCCGGGAGCCGTCAGGAGTCAGGTGACTGCTCGGTATGGACGGGCAGCCTCGGGGAAGGGGTCCAGACCTCCGGGGTGCTGCGCTGCGAAGAAGCACAACGTCGGAGGCCTGGGGAGGTCCGGCCCCTCTCTGTGGACCGGCTCTCCGCCCCAAGTCGTGTTGTCGGGGCGGCCCCGGGGCCGGAGTAGGGTCAAGTCGGGCTTGTCCTTCTACAGGAATATTCCAAAATAGTCAAAAGATAGTCCAGGGACGATTTTTTGACAGTTTTCGACTATTTTGTAATATTTCTTGATTGTGTTGTATTTTTGATCCAAAATCCGCCTGCAGGGGGACACGTCCAACCTAAGGGTAGGGGCCCCCGGAGGCCGACCACGACAGCAAAGACAGCCCGCCGTGCCGTCTTTCGCGACGCGAGGAGGTCAGGTGCCTTATGTCTCCTTCTCCTCCTCCTCCTCCTCCTCCTCCTCCTCCTCCTCCTCCTCCTCCTCCTCCTCCTCCCCCTCCCTCCCTGGGTGCCAGCGCTCCGCATCGGCTTCTCTGGGGGAGTATCTTCTGAATTGTGTAGCATGCTGCTCTGAGGCCGTATTGCGCCTCGTGACCATGGGGCCAAGCAGTGAGCCACGCAGTGCTGTATATCTCTTCGGCATGCATCAGTATCGTTTCACCGATCCCTATCCCCATCCCATCCCCGTCCCGATCCCCACCATCCCACCACCCCAGTCGGGGGTATGCCCCTAGAAACTCGAAGGGAACAGCCAATGTCCTCATCTAGGGTGGTACCTCGGCCAGTGGGGCCCATGCCATGCCAGTGGGGATAGGGATCGCTTAAACGATGCTCAGTGCAGGGGGCGCCATGCAAGAGCATAGAACCGAATCCTCCTCCGCCGGCGAGCGCGGTTTTCGCGCGTCCAGAGCTCTTTGTTCGGGAGCCTGCGCATTCCCTCGCCGTCCCTAAAAGATGACGGCTCCACGGGAGCGACGCGCAAACGGCGGCCCTTCCCAGGGGGAAGGGGTAAGCCGGCCAGGGCTCCTGGACCGCGTCACCGCGGAGCTTGTAGGCCACCGCGAGCCCCCGGTGTTCGCTTTTCCTTCCCCTCCTCCCCCTCCTTCTCCTGCTGCTCCTCCTCCTATGGAGTCACTGCCTGCTCACAGTCTTCGCGGGTGTGGATCTGATGGTGCTCTTCGTTCTGCTTTGCTCAGTGGATCAGGTGGCATAACTGTCGCGGTCGGGCACATCTCGCTCGCGGTCTCCGTGGCTGTCTGGGAAGAGAGGGCCACTTTTTACTTAACTGGCTACGGTAGGTTCGCGTCGTGTCCTCTGTCGGCGACCCCGCCGCCGACGTTCAACGTTGGACACCGTCGGCGACCCAGAATCGGTCGATGTTGGACGATCTGATGTTTCTCGGAAACGGGCGATCGCTCAAGGTTGAACGATCCCCGCGGTGCCAGGAACCAGCGCTATAGTCGGGACGACACGTACCTGCCGTACTTGGCGGCGCGAAAGCGGGGGTAGGGGGAGGGGGGAAGGCCTCTTAGAAGGAGACTACTTTGAGAAGGCGCCAGCCCTACATCTGTAGACAAGGGCCGCGTTTTCTAAGGAGCAGCCTCCTTCTGAGAAGCCTCCCCCCCTACTCTCTCACTGCGCGCCGCCAACGTATGCGAATTACTCGTTCTCGTTCTCGATCCGTTCTTTGAGATGGCCCCAGGGGGGGCCCCGCCAGGAGCGCGGCAAGATCGGCGCCTACCTCAGGTTCGTGCCGCTGTGCTCCGATGGCGGGGCGCGGCTTCGGGCCCTGCCGTCGCCGCCGCCGCCGCTGCCGCCGTAGCGATTTTGGCCCAAGCTGGTTGATTGGCTCTCGGAGTCGGCTGGGGGTCCAGTGTCCTAGTTCAGGCCAGTAGGAAAGGAGACGAGGCTTTGGGTGCTTTGTCCGATCAGTTTTTTGCTTTGTTGTGTTTTTTTTCTTCCCCCCCTGTTTTTTTTGGCTTTGTCGTTTTTTGCCTGTTTCAGGCTCCAGGTGCCGTTATCGGGCCATTGGACCGTCGAAAACGGATCCAAGGTGAAACTCTGCACCAGATGGACCCCAGGATGGGTTTGGGGACCGAGTTTGAGCGGATCTGCTTCCCCCCCCCTTCTTGATGGATTCTCTCGGGGTCCAACCTGCTCAAATCCCCTGGCCGCCTACGAGCCGCCGTAGCCATTTCGGCTCAAGCTGATTGTCTCAAGCTCAAGCTTACCCGGCTCTCAACCCCCGTAACACACTCTGACCTCCCGCTTTGAAGCGCCCTCCACGTTCTTGTGCACACTCAAGGCGCCGAGCGGGGCAGGGATGTCGAAGCGAGTTGCTCAGATGTCCGGGTCCACCCTCCGAAGCCTAAGAAGGGGGATTCTGCTCTGATGGACGTTGCCACATCGGCGGAAGATCCGGAACGCTGCTCAGTCTGATTTATACCGGCCGTACAAGAAGCAATGGGAGAGCAAATTAAGCATAATGTTGCACCACCTCCCACCCACAATTTACCAGACCAGAGGACGCGTGCTGGTGCTCAGACGCCTATCGTTGGGGTGCCTCCCTCCCTCCTCCGTCCTCCTCCCTCCTCCTCCTCCTTCTCCTCCTCCTCCTCCTCCTCCTCCTCCTCCTCCTCCTCCTCCTCCTCCTCCTCCTCCTCTCATCGCATGTTATGCTGGATTTTTCCGCAGCCATTTTGGCTCAAGGCTGTGAATTCCCCCGCGGAATACACGGATACCGCTAGTCTGCGGCCAGTGCCAGAGCGCTTGCGCTCGACATTCAAGCCACTCAGCCAGCACTCCAGGGGCTCACTGGCGGCCCATTCCCGTGTGTGGCTCTCCTCGGATGTGGGCCTGCTGCGATGCCCCAGACTATCTGACACCAGCAAAGTCGGATGGCGTGGGCAAGGCCGTGGCTATGTCGCTGGTGCACCAACAAGGCTGGCGAACGCTGGTTGAACCCAGCGAGAGCCAAGGTGTGCGGGGGTGAATGGAAGTGTGACCAGAGTGTCGCCTTCTTCTCCACCAAACCACCCATGTCTCCGTCGTGGTCTTTGGGTGCTGGAGGCGGCAAGGCCGAAGGCAAGGGTGTGGAAAGCAACAAGACAATGCGCGAGAGGGCCCTGGAGAAGCAGCTTGCCATCCTACGCAAGCAGCTCTGGAGTCCACGGGCGAAAACGACATGCAAGTTGACGAGAGCTGCGGGAGGTCGACCACCGCGGCCGCCGTCGACAACGACAAATGGAACTCTGAGTTGGCGGAGGCCGAGGCCATGCTCAAGGTTCTGCCGCGTGAGCCTACCTCGGAGTTTGCCGTGCAGCAGAACATGCATCTCGAGAGGCACCATGGCAGCTGGAAGGCCAAGTTGCGGGAAGCGCAGCCCTCGAGTGGAGGGCCCATGACGTGGTTAACCAGAAGCAGCTCACCATCAAGCGGGACAATCTCGAGAAGGGAGTGGAGGCGGCGAAGACGGCCGTCGAAGGAACAAATAACGTGCTGGAGGAGGCCTAGCGAGCACACGCCGAAGTGCTCGAGCATAGTGTGGCTAAAGAGGTGGAACTCAAGAAGGTGCTGGGCGCCCAGCCCAAGCTCCCGCCCGAGAGGGCGCTCTCCTCCACCGGAGTTTCGGTCGGAGAGCTGGGGCAGCTCTTCAGGCAAGAGGACTGGGAGAGCAGGAAACTGCAACGTTGTCAGCACGCCTCAAGTCTGCCATGTCCGCCATCGTGGATGCTTAGAAGAAGATCCGGACACGTGTGCCGCAGCCTGAACCTGTGCAAGTTCCTGATGATGACGGCCCTGCTCCTGCCTCTGCTCCTTCTGCCCCTGTTCGCTGTAGTATGTACGGGCTGCCAGATAGTACGGAGGCTGCTGATACGTTGCGGAAGTTTTTTTGGAATCATTGCGACAAGCTGTACCCGAGGACGAGGGCGACCTACGGGGCGTGGTCAAGAGGTTTTGCGAACGCATCCAGAGCTTGCCGAAGCGGGCCCGTGCGGCGTGCGAGTAGTATGTGGTGGTTGAGTTGTTGTTGTTGTTGTATTCAATGACGGAGGCTGCGGGCTACGATTCAGACCTTCAAAGGCACATCTGCTCAGCAGCTCAGGGGGGGTTCCTCCCGCGCAGCAAGGCGATCGTCCTATGCGTGCCGGAGCGCCGACTGTTGGTTGGTAAGTTGGCAGATTTTCAGAACAGTGTGCAGCATCTGGGTTGGCATGGGGTCTGGGCAGAGGCCCAAGCCACGGCTACTGTCACTCTCACTGCATCGACTGGTGTTGCTGTGCTGGCCCCTAGGAAGGTGACCTGTCGCGGCCGCGCCCAGCTCGGAGGCGGGAGTGCTTATCCCGCGCAGGCTCCCGGTTGCCCAAGTGCATTGGGGTGCCCACGAAGATCTTATCATGTATTCCGCCTGCGTGCATATGAGTGTGAATTTGATGAGACCGAGCGGGGGGTTACTGATTGTTGGAGGTAATTTTAAGGTGTCGACTGCTGGCCTCGCGTGCCATGACTAGCTTCTATTGATTGGAAGGCTGACAAACACAAACGTCGAATCGACATGCCGCCAGTCGCTACTTGGGTTGATCCTTGATTATTTTTGGATTTGCGAGAAATTGGTTGGGGAAGTTCGGGAGCCGTTTGTTGTTGAGGATGCGGAGACCAAATCGCGTCTGCCTGTCAGCGTGGTTCTTGTAGCTAGGGAGAACCCATTACTACTGCGCAACATAAGAGGGGCTGAGGCTCTCCCAGGTGTTGTCAGGCCAGGCTGACTTGGCAGAGGCTATCTCGAAATTCTGAATGCAGTGGAGGTTGAGTTGGCAGGCGGACGCGATATTGTTGGCGACGGTGTCCTACCTTGCCTGTCCAAGAAGGCATGCGGCCACTGGTGTGGCAAAGATGTAGCGAGGTGAAGGCCAATGCCGCCGACGAGACCGAGCATGCATGGAAGACCGCCGAGAGATGGGCGAGGCACATTCGGAGGCGGGATACTTAGTTCTCGAAGCTGCTGGCCGACCTGCGGGAGGAGCTCAAGACAGTGGATTGTTCTGGCGGGGTGCCCTTGCGGCGGGGACGGCGAGTTCGGCATCCCAGAACAGTGCGTAGGCTGCCTCGGGCGCGTCGTCAGAGGTAGAGGGGGTGGGGCTGAGGTGGGCCCGCGATCCTCATGGTGGTTCTCTTATGGCGTCCTCTGCGTGTGCGGCGTCCCAGAGGTTTAAGCTGGCTGCTCCGGGTGTGCCGCTAGGGGTGGATGGGGGTGGAGCCGAGGCGGGCTCGCGACCTCCATGTGCACGTCGACCTGGGGCCATAGTGTCTTCTATTGCCTCTACGATGGGTTCGGCGTCCCAGAGTGGCGCGCGGGCTGCCTCGGGCGATGCGCCAGGGGTAGTGGGGGTCCCGCTGGGCCCGAGTCGGGTGGCACGGTTTCCCTTAATGTTGATTGTGGCGCGATGCGATATGCAGTGGGGGGGCCCGCTTCTGCCCTTCGCAAGGTCGCGCAAGTGCAGGCTGGCGCTTGTCTCGGAAGCGATAGATCATGTGTCGGGAATGCTGGCTGTGGTGATTTCGTGGGGGGGCCCTGTGGTCGGCCCGTCATCCTGAGTTTGCCAGACTACGCATCAGCTGCACCTGGCGATCGATTGGTTCGACGGGGTGGGGCCAAGCGCGGCGCGGGCGTCGGCGGCAAGACCTCCCCCGCGTGCGGCAGCGGAAAGGCTAGGCCCGGCACCTTGCAGAGGATGGCTCGACCAAATATCGAGATGGACCACTTCAGCTCCAAAGTGGCGAAGGCCAAGAGGATGCGCGAGTTGCTTGATGAGGGCGCGGGGGGCTTTCTCACAGACGGTTGTGTCGGATGGTTGGGGAATGCCCAACTCGTAGTGGACGTGAAGGCGACGATGGCCAACGCGCAGTTGGCCTTGGACGTGTTCGCCCGCCAAGAAGAAGCACGCTGCGTGGGCTCAGTGGGCAGGGGGGGCGTTCCGTGTGCCAGAGGGGCCCAGGCGGTCCTGGATGCCACTGGGTTGTCGTCTTCTCCAGAGCTTGCGGATAGCGTGCCTGAGAGATGGAAGCGGGTATGGCAGATGCGTGGCGCGGAAGGGCCGCCTCTGCCCAGCGACGCGGCAGGTCGGGGACAGCCGCCGCTTTTCTGTGGAGCCGACCTGAGAAGAGTGGTGCTTTCTTCTGCACGGCGTATTGGGCATGGTCAGGTGCGCGTGCTCTCGAGGCACTTCTGGTTCATGTCAGAGGCTGGACTGGAGGTGCTGGCGGATTTGTTCAACGCGTGCGAGAGGTGTTCCATGCGTCCGCAGTCGCAGCTTTTCACGGGGATGTGCATGCTGCCCAAAGCGAGCGGCGGCGCACGCCTTATTGCTCTCCTCAGCGCAATGTTGAGGATCTGGGGCCGAGAGAGACGCCCTCCCAGCGTGCGGTGGGAGAATGCTCAGCCTCATCCTGCATTTCTGGGGGAGGTCCGGGAAGAACTGCTAGTGACTGCGCGTTCCAACTCAATTTCGAGGCCGAGGCAGCGCGCGCAAGCAGCACGTCACCACAGTGTTTGTGTACATATACAAGTGCTGCGAGGCGATACTGTGGAGTGCTATTTTGTGCGAGGCGCGCGTGCTCGGTTGCCTGGCGAGGCTCAGGTGGATGATCCTGCAGACATACGTGATCCCACGCACGCTGCGAGCTTTTGCTGACACGAGCGCCGTGTTCGCTTCGTATCAGGGCATGCTGGCTGGTTGCGCGCGCGCTGCCACTGTACTTGAGGTGATCA